GGGTTATATCCACCAGCAACCAGCTGGTGCTGGTATTTGATATCAGCTGGGAAACCCATCAGGAAGCTTTGATTGTTCTTTTTTCTCTTTTATTTTTTAAATTTCCATCACCTTTTCCAGCTTGCTCCGCACACTCTGCTTGGTCTCTCTGGTTCAGCCACTTCCACGTGTCCCAGCAGTGGGGAGGTGGGAGCTCACTTGGCACACCTGTGCCAAGCTATAGGAACATCCCTGATGTCTCACCTTGGGCAGTCTGAACTCAGCATCATTTCTATAAAACTGGAGGAAAAAAGGCTGCTTAGCTCTGGAACACTTTTTTTTTTTTTTCAATCCAATGCATTTCCTGAAAATGGGTAGATGTGCAATTTATTCAAAGCAGTCCTTAGAAAGCTACAGGCTGTGGCTTTTAATTTTCATGTGTGTTTATTTTTACGAAAAAATCCCACGTTTTCTCCATTAATGGGTGAGTGGTATTTACTTTAGGTACAGCAGAAATCTGATGTTGAGCTTCAAATTAGGCAAATCTCCATTTATTAAAACCCTAAGTGCCTCTGTTTCCAGGTTTTTTCACGGTACATTTGGGCTCTGTGTTGGAAACTTAAAGCTGACCAGCCTGAGCTCAGATCTAGCAGGAAGGGATCTAACAGTCAGTCTGACTTTTAGGCTCTAGTAAAGGCTGGTGCCATAGAGGGGTGTGAAAAGCCTTTCATGTGGCCAGAGGAGGACCCTCCAGAGGCCAGCCTGGGTGGAGGAAAGTCTAGGAGCAAGGCAGAGACAGGAATTCATCCTGTTGGAGTCACAGGATAAGGTTTCACTTCTGGGGGCTGGTTCCTTTGCTCTAAAGCAAACAAAGCCTCGGGTTTGACTTTGCTCATTTGGTTTTTCATTTTCTGGAAATGTGTTGCTTTATCAAGTGGTGCTGGAAGCCTCCAAAAAACTTGGTTTGCAATGGGACACTTGTGCAATTTTGTCTTTTTGAAAGATTTCTGTGTGTTGGTTCTAGTCAGCTGAGGAGGGTCTGGTGGACCCTCTCATAACCAGTGTCTCCAGTTTATTATCAGAGTACTGAAGTTTCAAGGGGAGGTGGCACTGCTGTGCTTTCCAAGCTTTGCATCCAGCTCAGTGTGACCACATGCCTTGCAGACACCATCATTAGCAGATAATTGCCCCCTTCTGAAATAAGGTGAATCTTTTGGACTTGCCTTTGATTTTTGTCCAGTGCCAGATGAGTACTGGAAGGCTCTCCCTTCTTTCCAGAGGGGATTAGCTCCCAAGCATCTCAGGATGAGAGAGGTCAATAGCAGCTGTAACAATCTGTCCCTCTGGCACTTGATGCTGTATTAGGGTGGATGCCCCATTTTTGGAAGAGGAAAGCAATTGCTCTCTACTTGCACAGGCCAGTTTGGCTCTGTCACACCCTTCTGCAGTGTTCTGGTCCTGGTATTATATCAATTAGAACTGGAAATAATAAAGCCAAGAGTTAGCCCAGCAAGGAGTTAAAAAACCCACCCCAGCCAAGATATTGACATCTCCCTGCCCCTCCCAGCATTCAAAATGCCCATAAAACTTCTGTGAGCTTTGGAAAACTACACCAGCAAATGAGCTCTGTGCAGGGAATTGTATCCAGATGCTGGGGTGGTGGTTGTGAGAACCTCTGCCCTCAGCTTCCCTCTCTGCAGCCATCTTCCCCTCCTGGAATAATGAGGCCCATTGCTAAATAAATAACATTAAATATCACACCTTCTCCCCACCTTCTATGCCAGGCCAAACCAGCCTGACATGACAGGCTTGAGGACAAGCAAAGCTAATCCACCAATTTATCTCCAGTGTGCTGTATGACTGAGTTCATCCAATCAAATCTGTGTAACAAAGCTCTGGAAGTGAAGGGAGAGCTACAAGCTTGTAGTTCAGCCAAGAATCAATTTCTCGTTTTCTCTATTGTTTTATGACAGTTCCTGTGTGTTGGTGAGGGCCAGAAAAGATGGACACCTTACAAATGTTTCTGTCCCCTGTATCACTGGCATTTCATATCCAGATTGAAAATGAAAGGAAATTTTGTAGATTGGATCAGCCATAGTGAGGAGATATCTGGTTCAAAATGTCCAGCAAGGAAGAGCTTTACTCCTGCATAAAGCTAAATGTGAGTTTTATCTGTGCCTTTTTTTTTTTAATTTTATTTCATCCTGTTATTTCCTCTGAACACACAGTTAGGGAAGAAAGGGATTAAGACCAATTCATTTTATGGTGTCTTCATTTCAGAGTTGCAATAAAAACATAGAGCACAATAAGAAGTTACAAGCTCAGCCCTCTTTTGCTGAGTGAAGATGTTTAGGGAGTGTTTTGGATAAAACCTCTGCAGTGAAACCCTGCAGTCATTCCAGCTGAAGAACTCCCAGCTTTTCTTTGTTTTCAGTTTGGAGTTAGTGTTATATCCAGGAGGAAAAGGGAAGGATTGGACCACATTTTCTGCAGTGCCTGTGAAAATATATGTTGTAGGAGTCCAGCCCAGCCAAAAGGCAACATGTAGGTTTTTTTCTCCAGATGGAACTGTTTCCCTTTTGGGTGCTTTCTTTTTTAGCAATGGCTTGTATCTATCCAGTGGGTGTGTCAGCTGCAATGTTTGAAAGTTTTAATTCTTCTCCATCTCTAAATTTGTCATTGCAAGAGGTGTTTTGACCATGTAAGAAGTCTTAAACTTTTCAGAGGAAGGTGCTGAGGGGTGTGGCGAAGTAACAACTCCTGTCTCCTCTCCTTAATCTTGTCAGCCTTGGGATTTCCTCATGGGCTGGGTAAGAGGTGGCTGCTGGAATGGGAGCATCAACCCAATTCCGATGGCACGTCCTGCTGAGGGGGCACTGGTTCCTGTCCAGGTGAGCTGAACATGCCGGATGCAGCAGCCTGGGTTCAGTAGGCATTATTTAAAGCAGACATAACACTGCAGGCTTTTTATTTTGGGGATGCCCCAAGCTGAGAGATTGCAGAGATCGGGGAGAGTCAGGAATGGAAGGAGCAGGAAAAATGAGTGTGTTATCCAGAGCCTTGAATTGCCCTCATCCTCCATCCAGGTTCCTGAGCTGACCTCCTCCAGCTCCCTTGCTGCAGAGCTGGGCTTCACCAGAGACACCTCTCCTTACCCGCTCTGCTTACACAGCTGGGCCTGAAGCACGCTCTTGCAAAACATACATTCAGTGCAAATATTATCCCTATACATCTTGTCCCTGTTATTTCTTATGAGCAGGATCAACAGCTGGAGCGTGTACCTCGAGTCCCATAGGACGCTGGAGCCACCCTGAGACACATCGCCTTAGGAACGAATCCTCACCCAGGTCCACGAGGGAACTGGAAAAAGGGGCTGGACAGTCCTGTGGCCTGGGATGCGCTGTGTTCTGGCCTTGGAATGGGCTGTGCTCAGCCAGGTTGTTTCAGACAGGCAGTGGATCCTGAGAGAGGTTTTGGTCCGTGGGAGGAACGACGTGGCTGGTTTTGTGCAGCTCATTACGCTCCCGTTGCCGATTCCTAAATGGAGTCCTGTCGCTGAGACAGACCAGGTTTGCTTTTACTAAAAACATGGGGGTGGGGTTTTTATTTTTCTTGTACCAAAGTATGAAACTTTAGATGTCCATCTCTGTGCCTGGTCACCTCTGAGGGTTTTTTTTTCTGCTGACATTCACCTTGATAAGCTACAAAGAGGTACAAACTACAGCGGCTCGCCGCGTCTTGACTAGTGTCTTGCTTTGATATAAATCCTCAGGGTAAAAAAAGCACCTTGTGCAGCAAAAGCAAAGGCTGGAGTCGCTTTCATGAGGCAGGCTTAGTCCCCCTGGAGGACTGACATCCCCATTTTTGAGGCCTAATTGCATGAAGTCTCCTGTGATAATTTCTTAGACAGCGATGAAAAGCGGCTGGAGCCAGCCTTCGGCATTGAGGGGGACGAGCCCAGCGGGTCGCTGGAGTGTCTTGATAGGGCAACAAAGACATCCAAAGGCTGGGACAACAGTGATCCTGTCGTATGTGCTTAAAGCCTTTTTTCATCCCTTGCAAACACAGGTTCCTGGGCTTGGTCAATATTAAACCGTTTCCTCAAAGATGCACCTTGTGATGGTATTCTCCTGCTGAAGGGTTGCTCTTGTTGCAGTTATTGTTGGCTTTGAGTGGAGGCAGTGTTTGTAGGAGTCATCCTTTGACACTGGGCTCATGGTGTCAGCCTGGCCACGGAGGGCCATGGTAAATACCCACCAGCAGCATCTGTGCCTGCCCAGAGGGACCACAGTCCAGGCTCCCTGATGCTCCCCAGATCTGCAGCAGCAAGCTGGAGGTTTTCTGTTCCTCGCTCCCCTCTTCACTCCCCATGGCAGGATCAAGCAATGT